ATCCCCATTCCGTCTCATATACATGTACCATCCAATATCCCATCCTGTCCCACATCCAATCCCATGCTATCCTATATCCCATCCCCTCCCATCCTCTCCATTATCCCATTCCATTCCATTACAATATAAAATACAGAAGCTTCAAAGTGAAGACCTGCATTCCCACTGTGTTTTATTTCCAAGTTTGACTCATCTTAGTAAACTCATAGCACCACTAAAGAAAATGAAATGTCTCGGATTTTCCAGTCCAGTGTCTTCAACGCAACCAAAGAGTGTGTACACTGTTCCCCAACCTGATGTAATTGCCTTGAAAGTTTAGATGTTCATGTCCCCTCTTTGGTTCCAAGTACCATTCAAGTGACCATCACAGGACAAGGGAACATCTTTATCTCGGAGTGCAGGGAACTCATATCAAAACAAAGCCACATACACAATGCACTGGTAGTCACACCAGTCATGGTTACTGAGGTCTCGCCAGTTATATTACTGTCACTGCTGCCAGGCTTCTGACGCTGCTCCAGTGCCAAGATGCGACTCTTCATAGCAGTCTGGTCCTCCTCAATGGGTTTGAGGCTCTTCTGTATTTCCATCACCGTCTCCTGCTTGGCCAATTTATTGATGTTGTCTTCCAGGCTGTCAATCTGCTCCACACGTGGTGCGATCATTTTCTGCAGATAGTTTAAAGTACTTGTAGTCTTTCCAGTCTAGTGCATATCACACGGATTATCTACAATGACATGTCTACTTCCCAAAAGTAGACATAATTACACATGCGATGTTGGAGGTTACTTTTCCATCCAGCACCTAAAAGTTTCCTTTGTTCTTGACTGATTATATTCAGCTCTTAAAAAAAAATTCCATTTTTATCATGGAACATGATTAAATAACACTGCATAATTTTGGAAAACAAAAAAAGCTGATATTACAAAATCTATGTTCATAAAATTGATGCCTGTTCATCATGCTTACCAATAAAGGAGCCACAAAAGACAGTTTGTGCTATGCTTCAGGCACCAATGGAATTATGCTAAAAAGAAACACCTGTAGTGGAACGCCAGTATGGATCTGCATCTACATGACTTTAGATGGTAGATGCAGTTACATAATAACTAATCGTTTTTTACATCGTAAATAGTGGTGGGTCAACATCTTTCCAAAATTAGACATTTTGAATGGCCCAACATTGCCTGTTCTTCTTTTGTGGAAATATCTGAAGTAAGGCATAACTTGACACAGAGGATCACCCACGCGAAGGAAAGAATGGTTTCTACTCTAAACTGACAGACCACATCTATTGACGCCCGAGTATTTCAGCCAGGCCTGCAACCTTGTAAAAAGAGCCCAGATTGTGCGGTGTTATGTACCTTTCTTTTGTTAACGAACAGTGCACCGCTGACCTTTTTTCAATACGGGCCAGATTAGCGTGCAGCAGTGCTGTGTGGCTCATTGCTGTGGTGGTGGAGCGCTTTTGTCCCCGGTGGTAATCCGATCGCACTAAATGCCCCAAAGCATGGTATACTGTTTCAAAACAAGGCTGGATTTTCTCCGCTACTGAGAGTGATTGCCCCGCAGCCGGTGAACGGTAATGCCCCGCAGCCTGGTCTTTTGCCCCAAGTACGGTCTTTTGTTACAAGGCCCAGTTCCCTTTGTCTGATTTCAGAGACCCCGGCCACTCATATAAACACACAGTGCCTGAAACCAGGCTCCCCAGTAGGAAGTGGTTTAAACGCATATGAGACTTGATTTCAACTTTTACAACAGTGGACGAACGAATGACTCATGACTCAGACTCAAGTCTGGTGACCTGACTACAACACTGGGCCTTTGTTGCACTACTAAGGAAATCAACTCACCTGCAAATCCCGAATCTGTTTCTCGAATTTTGCGAGTGACTGCTTCAAACCACCACTGATTTCCAGCCCCTGCATCTTTTCGGTCATGCCTTCCGTGGCCATCTTTTTTCCCTGGTCCTTGAAAAGCCGCAACTCATTTAGAACTAAGTCCATATTCTTGATGTGCTCAGTGACTATTTGCAAGTGGTAGACTTGGTACTCAGACATGTGTGAATCCATCTTTCTCGTTCTCCGTTCCTCCTGATTCACAAGCAAGGAAAATGACACATTTTTTCCATTTACCGAACTAAACATCCACTAGTTTGTCATTTTACACTGATAACATGCACATATGCTTCATATCACATGTCCAGGGGAAAAGGATATCTTAAGTGCCCCTAGTCAATTTGCATAATTGAACATCTGAAGATTCAACCTTCCATTCAATTGAATATTCCTACACTCGGTTGTTATACATGTAAAGCAGAAACACATGGACATTTGTATGGTGGTCTACCTTGTTGAGAGTAAGGACAGCTTTATCATCCCTAGTTAAGGGTGGAGGCTGGCAGTCAAACTGATGTTCAGTCTTAACTGGTGATTCAGTCAATTTCATTTAATCAAAAAGTGGAAGCCAAAAAACCATGTAAATTGAAAAACCTCAGAAACAATTATGGATACCCTGAAACCTTGCCAAGATGACTGGCATATTTGTCCAGGTGACATTTTACTCAGTGTATATGCATTTAGCTGACAACATTTCTGTTGTTGCTGACTACAACTAGAATGCTCGCTGTAGGAAAAATCTTAAAAACACAAATGTGAAATATGATAACGAGAAAGTAACAGAAACTGTCGGGTTGAAACAACTTACTTTGTAAGAGCATCCAAATGGTGTGAAAAAACACCTGATCACTTCCAGAGGGCAGGTTTTTGTGATGTGCTCTTGCATCTAATCAATACATTGTAGTCAACAAAAATGAGACTTTTTAATGTCATACTAATCTCATCTGCAAATTTTTTTTTCAATATTTTTCAGCAATAAATTGGAAATAGAACGATTGTTAATTGTTTTGATGTCGTCAGATATGATCGTTTGAAACTCCAAGGGTTGCACAGAGCATGAGGTGAAGCCAAGGGCACTATGCATCCCTTGGGGGAATGTCATGTCCCATATCACAGCAGTCAATAATTTCAAGTTTCTGTCATATCTCTGTCTCCATTATGTTTTTCTAAGGGAAATTAAAGGCAACAAAGGAATCTCCAACATACGCAGTTTGCGGTCCCTGCATTATCCTATACACTGCAGGGATGCAT